TTGCCAGCCCGCTCAGAGATGTGTATAAGAGACAGCTCTACAATTTTTTTCCATACAATCACAATCGTTTTGAATTGAGAGTTGTATATCCTATTTATCAGAGTTGGGAAGTGACTCGTTACTTGTAACGAAGTTACAGTTACTTTTTTTCAATAACTGCAACCTCGTTACTTTCTTTCTATGTGTAACTGTAACTTTGTTGGATTTTTTAAGTAATTAGTAACTTAATAGTTTATTACCTTTACAGTTACTTTATATATGTCAAATCGTCACTTTCATGGATCAAAATTATGCAACACTTTCGCTCAATCACCTAATCGTAACGTTGATTGTAATTATGGGAAATATTTAAATGCTCATATTTAAATACGCAAATTACTTTTCTTTTTTAAATAAAATTATATGATATGTGAATGTAAATCTTTTTTTTTTATAATGCTACTGTTGTTCTACTAAAAGTAACTGAAAAGTAACGATTTGTTACTTTTTGAGTAACCGTAACGTGTTACTTTTCAGAGTCTCGGTAACTTGTAACTGTAACTAGTTACTTTTACAAAGTAACTGTCCCAACCCTGATATTTATTAAATTAGATTCATCGATTCTGAGTGTTTACGAATAATTGGTAGGTCTTATTTTTCTAACGATCATCTTACAGAGGCTCCAGACGAACCTTACGATCCTAGATCATTGTACGAGAGATTACAGGAGCAGAAAAATAAAAGGGATATAGAGTATGAAGAGGCTCATAAACTAAGTAAGAAAGTAAAATTGATTTTCCTTAAATTATTGTTCTATAACAAATCTAATATTTATTTGGCTTCTAACAGTAAATTAATTTATCCTTGTTGACATAAATTGTGAAATTAGAAATCATCCTTTTCTGTTCTTTATAAATTTATGCTGGAAAAAGATAGCAAATGTTATCTGTGTCAATTATTTGCTAATAATTTAAAATAATCTAAATTGTCAAAATATTGTGGAAATATCTGAATACATTTAACTATATTTCTAATATTTAAATTTTTTTGTTCAAAATCACATTCTAAAAAAGTATGTATCTTGATGTGTATATTTATTTTTAAGAAAATATGATCAAAGGATTGGATGACGATGAAGTAGAGTTTCTGGACTTGATTGATAGAACTAAGATGGAGGAAGAACGTAAGAAGAATCTTGAGGAAGAAAAAGAAATGCGTGATTTTAAAGCCGCAGTTGCTTCTCTTCAGGAACAAAAATTAAATGAAAAGTTAAAACAAGAATTGAAGAGTTTGCCTGTCAATAAAAATGCTGCCTGTGGAAGGTACTGTGAAGGACAAATTTAAGTTATAACACAACGTGTAATATCTTAATATTATATTTGACGTTAATATCATTATTTTATATTTCAATTTCATGGTAATCCTCTATTTTAAAAGCTATGGTATCGAATAAAATTTAAATCCAGAGATTAATTCTTAAATATTTAATAATATGATGATAGGAATTCTTCAATTTTAATTATTTTTTATTGTCTTTTAGTAGCCGCACTTCGCAGTTAAAGTTACCTGCAGGCGTTGTATTGAAGCGGTCTGACAAACAGAAACAAGGTAAAAGTTATAAAAATATCTTACGAAGAAGCGTATTCTGCATAATATAAAAGGGTGGGTGCTACCAGGAAAAACCGGGAAAACCTGAAATTCTCAGGGAATTTCATTTTTATCCTTGAAAATCATAGATTCTCATGGAATTTTACTGGCACTCAGGGCAATTTTTTGAATTTTACTTTTAAATTTAATTTTATCCCTTCAGAAAGTAAACGTGGCCCCATATCGAAGGCCCCTGATATTGATAGTTAATTTATTTTAAAATTGACATACTATATAAAGACTCTTCAATCTAAAAAATGATAATCTGGAAATAATAAATCAGGCATTAGCAAGAGAAAGTTGTATTGAGAAATTCTCTGATATTACCTGGAATTTTGAATAAAATTCCTGGAAAATTCTTTCAGGGAATTCTTTTTTCAAAATTTGAGTACCCACCCTGTATAATATAATCTGTATTAATTGCTGGTCTTATTTATGCAGAGGACGCACCTAAAGGAATAAAAAGAAAATTGTCCCCATCCGAAGATGGCGCCGATACTAGCAAAAAGAAAGAGCTACATACGGCTTGCGAGCCAGCAGCAGATACTTCCCTTCCTAGTCTCGAATCAGATAAACAAAACGATGAAACTGTACCGGATCAAGTAGATACAAATAGCGGACTGAAATGTATTGGCATATTACCTGGTCTCGGTACATACGATAATTCCAGTGACAGTGATTGTAGTTCCGACACAGATCAGGAAACGGAACCGAACCCATCCGTATACGATATGTTAGGTCGAAAGATAAAATTGTTGAAAGATAAGGAGAAAAGCGCTGAATGATATGTAAATTCATACGTATATGTACATGTCTATACGAATGTATGTATGTATGTATGTATGACAAGATAATTGTGAATATAGGAGAAAAAAAATTATATACCATTGTATCGCAATAATTATACATGTATTTGAAACATATTACGATCGGATACATTATATACTTTCTGTTACATTTAGCGAGAAAACATGCCCGTCTAATCTTAATCTGTTTGCTGGAATTTCCATGTTAAATTTAAATTTCATGATCAGTTTGAATATTTCACGTGTGTTGATTTTAATAATTATATATATTTGATCATAATTTCAAATTTTGTAATGTATGCATATAATAATCCAATTGGCGCATATTGCTATGAAACGTATTGGTGTAACATTTTAATTTTTCAATCGAATAATTATAAACAAGATTATATACGTTTTTTTTTTTATGTTTTCGCATCGCTACTTCCAATATTTTCCTAGTATTTATCAAATATTTCGAATTTTATATTAAAATCTTATGCATATTTTCGCTTTTTATTTAACCGCATTAATTGTCGTTTCAATATTTATTGATGTAACTCAAATATATGTTTGACAATTATTATATGTCAAATTGACTTTACATTATTGACATCACACGTTGTATTAGTTGTATATAAATGAATTGATGATATAGATTGTACAACACGCTCTACTTTCAATTCTTTGATACTTCTTGATAAGACAATTTTCCAAAATGAATTTCTAATTGAAAACCATTTTGATTTTGATTATAAATATTTTTACATCCACACCGTTCAATAAGAATTCACCGAGATTTTACTGTTTTCGAAAAATTATCACTTGTTTTTTGTAAATCAACGGAATCTTCCATCGTTTTTTAGTGACAGATTTCGTAACTTTTCTTGAAACAATTCGGTGGGGCTTCTTGAATTTAATACCCAACTGATGAGATGCTTTAAATAAAGAATTTAAATTTCCTATTTCTTCTTGAACTTTGTTCATCTTTAAAATTTTCAGGCACACTAATCTTTTTTATCAGATATCTATAAGCCTAAGTCTAAAAACACATTGCATGTATTTTCGTGTAATCCGCGTTCAAAACCGTTTTCATTTACAATTAGTACAAATGCACTGCAGAATTTTTGTATTAGGTAAATACATATATTAACACACAAAAATTAGACAGTTCTAGACGCTATATTGAACTAAGAGCAGGTAAAACAAATCTAAATTTCTTAATTTTTTTTTAATTTTTGACATAAAGCGATCGGTTTAATTAATATAAGTTTGTGCTTATACTTTAAGTTGTGGAAAAGGATTTTTAAATCTGTAAAGGCAGTTAGAAAAGTAGGGTGTTGAAAAATAATCGCATTCGATCAGTAAAATCAACGACTCTTTATTTAACCCTGTATAAAATATGTAAAGATTGTATGTCTACATGATTTTTTACATATTGCAAATCGAAGGGCTTCATTTTTTTAGACGAAAATAAATAAAATATATTTTGAAAATATTTCGTGTCTATAATGTTAATTATGAAAAAATTAATTCAGCGACCTAATGTTTTTGGAATGACATTGAATAAATGTTGAATCCAATATTCCTGAATTTGAATTGCAATGTCTTTTCAGCGTTTGGCAAGTATGAACATTTCTGCAATGTCTTTTGAATGTTGAATCTATATTTCGCAATGTTGATGCTATACATTCACAATGTTGCAATTCAATGTTTCTGAAATGTTGATTCAATGTTTGTGTGCTATATGCATTAATGATCATACTTTAAAAAAGATTTTATTCGTATAACTGTAATATATTGGCTTATTTTTATTTCAATAATATAATCATAATATTGGTATTCTATATATTGAAACTAACTAACTATTAATTAACTTTTACGTGCCCCCTGTATTATAGTTATTTTAAATGAATTTTATGAATTATTTTAATTATATTTTAAAGGATTTATTCCTTTTAAATGCGAATATATATATTAAATTTAAAAAAATATATATTTATTAAATAATTAATTAAGCTAGAGTTTCTGAAAATTAAATTCTTTTTGACGTTGTACAACTCTTTAATTGTTTATATTATTGTTAAAAACTGGGAAACGCAGATCGGTATCTTTAAGATTTTCTTCGATCCATTTTTGAATTTTGGCATCTAATTCTGGAGTAAAGATATTGCAATCGCCGTTCTTTCCTCTAACGAAACTTTCCCTCTCCATAATCCCGCAAGCTCTCATCTCAGAATAGTTGACCATCGGGTTGTTCCGAAAATTTTTAATATTTAAATATTCAGCCACTTTGTTCACTTCTTCATCACTATATGTTTTACCCAAGAATTTTGCTATCTTCTTAATTGCTTTCGGGAGATCCTAGAACATATTTAATATAGTTTTCTTTAGTGCAGCATACATATATTACATAAAAAATTCAAAATAGTAAGCTCAGACAATAAGAATGTTAATTATTTTGTAAATTAGTTATTATATAATTATAAATATATTTTATTATATATATAATATATATTTACATACATTAAGTTGAGTATAGAATTCAAATGTTTAGAATATAAATATTTAAAAAGAATTATAATTATTGTTATGATTTATGATGAGAATTATATCATTTTTATGATCTAAAATATGTTATAATATCAAAAAACTTTTTCTCAATATTCTTTGTATTAAATAATTAAAATAAAATGATAAAAAATAGAAGAGTATATTTTACACAACGTACTATTATATAAACAATTTAAATAAAAAGGTTATTTTATAAAATATACCGAATATATAAACAAATATATTTAATTGATTAAAATATAAAATTGTCTAACTTACGTATGTTATTTCCTCATAAAATAAAAATAGAAGATTTTTGGAATTTCTTAAGGCCCAAGCCTCTTTTAAATGTTCCCAATAAGGTGACCAGGGTGCTAGAAAAAGATTGTAATTTAAGATTTTGTTTTAATTTATTTTTTTAAAACTCCTCCTTCCACCTTTTGCCTTCCACGAAAAGAGAACAAATATTTATAAAGCGAATACATTTTATTGTTGTCAGAAATATAAGCAATTAAGTAAAGATACAGAATATTTCAAAAAGAAAGATCAATGCTTTGAGAGATCATAGAATAGATCTTTCTAAAAAGAGAAGATGTGGATGAGCATCTTATTTCAAAAAGGGTTTTTTTTCTGAAATAAGGCTATTTGAATTTAGAGAATAGTTTTTTCCCTTTCTTTGTTTTTATAAAATATCACACGCAACTGATATTCTACGGAGAACGTAATTAACAGAATTATCTCGAAAATGTTACATATTAAACGGCAGGTCCATGACCTCAACCTTTAAACGGATACGGATTTGCTTAACGCGACGTACATTCCGTTTATTGACAAGATATAAATAAACTTTTTATTTTTAATATCATATTATTCCTATTTGGCTTGGTAGTTTGTAATCTTGTAAACGTTTTATGATCTCATTTTAGTTCCGTGTAGTTTGGTTTAAATTTTTACTTAACTCTTCTTCTCTTTGACGTTTTCAAAAGAAATTTATCTTTTTTAATAATTTAATTTATTATTTGTGTGCGTTTTACTCTAAGAAGTTTCGACTAGTGTGGAGCGTTATACGATTGCCTGCAACGAAGTAAACCGCAATTATATATAATAGAAATTAATTAGAAGTTAGTCGTAACGTTGTGTAACCGATGGTTTCTTGACACACATAGCCTGCTGTCCATCCGGCATTGAAACAGGCTGAGAATTAATTTACGGCTTGATCGTGGATCTTGCGAACGGTCTGAGATTCAGGTAAACATGTTTACACGGAATTTTTTGTATAAGATTAATTTGTAATCATTGAAGATGGCCTCAAGATAAGCCGAACGTCTGAGACATACTAAATTTGAAGATTATATTATTATGTAACCGATACTGGTTTACGTTTGCAATTGCGCACCATTTACCGCGCTGACTCCTCATGCCTTTTTATGATTCTAGATTAAATATATGTATATCTAGAATATTATGTGCACGCAAAGAACGTTTTTGTTAAAAGGTCTAAAAATTTTACTGAATACAAATCTGAAAATAATTTTCTGTTAAATCGTCAAAATATTTTGTTGGAATATTAAAACTGATAAGCATCACTTATAAAACGTTTGGACATTCGAGCAATCATTTTGACTTTCACACAAAATTATTTTGATTATTGAACAAAAATTATTTTCAAATCTGAATTCAGGAAAATTGTTCTTTCCGTGTGTATGTAGAAATAAATAAATACCCACTTACAAATAAGACTTCTAGAAATATTTTGGGCATTTGTGGAACTGTCAAATAACACAAATATCTGTGCACGATAAAATATAAAAAAATAAGAAACATATATGGCTCTTTCTCTGGAGATATTTTCTACTTACTCAAATTATTTATAAAATAGTCCAAAAAGGTGGCAAAATCACCGACGTATCCTTGTGTCTTTATATCAGTATTGAGATGATACCATGACGTAACTACATCTTTCGGATTACGAGCAACATAGACAACCTTCGAGAAAAGCGTCATGAAATTATAGATGATATTTATTAACAATTAGTAACGTTTCTCTCATTGGGCCGCCTTCAATTTGGCTAATTTAGCGGTTTCTTTGTGTTTCTACATTACAAATACTAAATAAAAAAACGTTAAAAATTCCAATAACGTCCTTTTTCTTGCAGTTATCACAATGACCTTGTGGAAGACAAAAAATTAATATGCAATTTGAAAATAAAATTAAATAAAATTTGATTGAAAAAATGACAAAATATCTGTTTTATTAATTTTATTTGGTATACAATTTTTATGAGATACTTTATATTCAATCAAAAATGAGATTTTTAGTGATGTTTATTCAATTTATGGCTTATATGAAGATTTACAGTTTTTCCGATCTTTACTGAAAAAATACGATTTACCATAACTTTGGTTCACTCAGCACTATTCTCAGTAATTCCTTTTTCTTGTGTGTGTCTACATTTTAAATATTAAATAAAAAATGCTACATAAGCCAAATTGAAGGGGGCCTAATGAAAAACATTACTTGTAAGAAATCTGAATTTTTTTTTAGATATTACCTTACAACCAACTTCCAAAATTCCAGGAAGCATGCTGAATGGGAAATGGCTTTTAATAAATCGGGGCGATTGCATTTCAGCGATAACCTCGTAACCAGGTTTAGCTATCTCCCGGCAGAATTGCTGTTTCACCTTATCATGTTTATTCATATTTAAAAATTCACAAGTCACTTCAGGATGATTAAACAAGCTAAACCTAAAATGAAATAAAAATATATATACAATTTGACAGAAATGACAAAAATAATAAATTATTTAATATCTCAATTACTTTGATATTTTTAATATCACATAATTTAGTTCGTTTGTTCATATTATATGCAATAATTATAAGCGATAAACAATATAAGAAATTATCCTAAATATTGGAAATAAAATATATGAATTAAAATCAAAATTATATGATTTATGATTATATTATTTGCCAAGAGATGTAGAAATACTGTTTATTTATACTTTCATTTTTATCACCGTACTAACTCGAGAAAGGGAAACCTCTCTGTAAGCAGACGCTTTCTTGCTACGTCGAAGTCCAAATCGTTGGCCAATAGCCAGATAAGTTCTTGTGTCATTGTTGTTCCTATAATTTAATAGAAATATCAATAATTCCTTTTTTACAAAATATCAATATTCCTTTTTGTACAAAACAAGTAAAAAAACAAGTGAATTATCTCTTCCCTTATTAAAGTGATTTCAAATAAAATTCAAAAGATTTAAATAAAAAGAATATGTACAACCTAAATTTAAAGGTATTTGAAAATTATAATTGTAAAAAATTGAAATATTAAATAAAAAGACATAATTCTGAAAGTTGAGAAAAGTAGATAATAGATATAGATATATAATGAAAGAAAACATTTGAAAAGTATTACATAGTTAATTAAAAGATGCCTACAAAATTAGAATAATGCTTAAATATATATAATTGTAAAAAATTGAAATATTAAATAAAAAGACATAATTCTGAAAGTTGAGATCGGTAGAGC